ATGGAAATCACTTTGTTAGCTGATTATTGTGGTTATTTGACTCTATTTCTCTAAATGAGCATTTTTATTACCGCTTCTTGTTTGGTTTTTTTGGGTTTTTTCTTCAGTTTTAGACATTATCTTCCACTATGGAGGAAGATGATTCAGCTTCCACCCCGTGCCCCATCACACATAAGGACTGTTCCCACTCCCCACTGAACCCCGCTTCGGTTTTAGTTACATGAATGTCTGCTATCTATTATGCCTGTGTAAATGCTGTTCACGGCTAAGGCAGGTAGAGAATCCTAATTATATTTCCTTTCCTGTACAGCTTTTTCTCTGGAGGTAGCAAATGGCTCATTTTTTCCTTTGTTTAGTGCTCTGCATACTTACCATTGATTCAGCCCCAAATTCTTTCCCTATTGTATAAATCTTTCCCTTTAGGACACTTCAGTTATTCTATCAATTTCATGTCTTGTAAGAAAACTGCCCAAAGCCTCCTTTCCTTCTCTAGTCTGAGCGAGTGGTCCTCTCGGCTGCGCACACTGCTGGCATTCTGGGATCTTCCATCACTGTCTTCCTGGGGGCTGCCTGTGTCTCTCTCTTGTGTTTAATGCCCTATTTCCTTGTATCCCTCCCCTTCCCTTCTTGGTTTACTCCCTCATTTGTTTGTTACGTCTTCTAATAGCATCCTTCCCAGGAGGGGAAGGCATGTGCATGGTAATGTTTTTGAGACCTTCATATGTAAAAATGTCTTCGTTCTACCTTCTCGCTTAGTTGGTAGTTTGGCCAAGTTTAGAATGATTCGTGTGTGTGTGTGTCTGTGTCTGTGAGGTTAAGAAGTCTAAGACCATTCTGATCCCCAGTTCTTTGTATATGATCTGTTTCTTTCTTTCTAGAAGCCTGGGAGATCTTCGCTTTTTTCCCAGTTCTGAAATATCACAATGGTATGTCTTGATGCTGAGTCTGATTTTCTCTGTTGTGTTGGGCACTTGGTAAGTGCTTTCCTCTAGAAATTCGTGTCTTTCAGTTATGGGAAATTTTCTGAAATCATTTTGTTGATGAATTCATCGCCTCCTTTTGTTTTTTGGAGTTTCTTTGTTTTTTATTTTTAGGACTCCTATTATGTGGATATTGGACCTCCTAGACTAGTCCTCTAAATTTTTTTACCTTTTCTATTCCATTTCAAACATCTTTATCTCTTTTGCTACTTCATATAAGATTTCCTCATCTTTTTCTTCAATGATGAAATACTCGTTTTTCCTGTCTTCTTTTAATTTCCAAGAGCTTTGTTGTTGTTCTCTGATTTTTTTTAATAGCCTCTGTTCTTTTTGGATGCAAGTGACATGATGAGGCTATTATTGTCAATTGTTTTGTTTTGGTTTTCTTCTCCCTACTCTATGTTTTAAGTGCTTTTGGGTTGGTTGGTTGGTTTCCATGTCTCCCTTTCATGTTAGAGACTTGCCTCAGGTGTCTGGAGGTGGCTGCCAGCGTTCCCAGAGCCGTGGAGCGGAGCAGCTGAACATCGCAGCATTCCTTGTGCACACAGTCACTTCATTTCCCAGTTGGGGTTCGGAACCCCTGCCCTTTGCTGTGTGTTCTCTGCTATGTTCCTGAGCCAGAAACCCTATTTTACCCTTTTCAGGCACTAAACTTACATTCTTCAGTTGAGATGGAGAGTGGAAACCACCTCGAGGCCAGAGTGCAGAAAGGGATTTAGGAACCTAACTGCCTCTTAAACACTTTCAAGGGCCTCAGTAACCGGGTCACATATGCCACATCTGTCCACAACATGGGTCTCTCCATTGTCTTTTGTGTAAGTCATATTCTTTCTTACCCTTTTGCTTTTACTAAAAATGTCCTCTCTGCCTAACTAATTTCTACCTATCTCTCATAGCCCCATTTTTCCATGAAGCTTTTCCTGGCAGCTCAGCTGCACTGGGATTGCTTCTTCTCCCAAACTCCCATGATGCTTAGCACCAATTGGCTGTGCCAGTCCTTGGGTCCTCACCATGTACAACCATATACAACCCAACGTAACGTCAGTGCTAGCTTGCCCAACCAACAAATGAGTCATGTACATAAGGCATCAGCAGAGTAGGTGTGCCAAAAATATTGTCTTTTGAAAAAATTTATTATCTCAAAAAGTCTTCCTTGGAAAAAAATAGAATTCCTTTGAAGAGTCTTATTTTATGCTTATTGTTTTTATTTTGGTACATGATCTTTATAGTGCTGAGAGCTCGTAAAATTCTTACTCCATCTCTGGATATGGTTAGTTTTCGTCTTAAAAGTTCTTGAGTAAATGAACCATGTCTTACACTTCTTTGTATAATTGTGCCCAAGTAGACACTCATTTAACATAAGATACTTTTAATAAAATGTATGCATATATGCATAATATACTTCTGAGATAACAAACTATAATGTAGGATTAAAATACCATATTTTAGGGGCCAACCTCATGGCATAGTGGTTAAGTTTGATGTGCTCTGCTTTGGCGGCCTGGGTTCATGGGTTCAGATCCCAGGCGTAGACCTATACCACTTGTCAGCCATGCTGTGGCAGTGACCCACATACCAAATAAAGGAAGATTGGCACAGATGTTAGCTCAGGGCAAGTCTTCCTCAACAAAAAAAAAAAAGGGGGGGGGAACCTACATTTGTTTGAATATTAGATGTCATCAATTGTAACATGTACCATTCTGCACCACAAAAATACAAAACAATGTCGCCAGTTTAACCATGATGTGCCAGTAATTGTAAGATGCATTCTAGTTTCAGAGATGTTAAAAGGTAAATGAATACATATGCATCTTAGATTTGATAAAATATGTACATTGTTGTTTTATAATATTATACACTGGTATTAGGCATCTTAAAACTGTTGATGTTTTTACATCAAATTTTTAACAGACATGAAATGCACCACGTAAATGCAAGCCACCGTGTGAGGAGATACGATGCGGAGATAAACAATGATGAAGCCATGACCCCTCCCTACTAAGAGTTTGAAGTCTAATGGAGGGAATGTTATATAAATGAATTACTGTGACCTGGGCAGAAAGTGATCAGAGCTATATAAGAGGAAAGATTCTGCAGAAATTTTTTAAATGGAGTGATTACCTTTAGTTGGAATTTTAAGAAATCTTTAAGGAGGAAGTGGTGTGTGAAATGAATTTTGGAGGATCAGTAGAATTTTGCAAAATATCAATGGATATGGCAGCATGCCAGCTGGGGGAAGTAATATGTGCAAAGGCATAGGAACAGGAAGATATAGGCATGGTTAGAAAACAGTGAAAAGTTCAGATTGGCTAGAAATAGGAATGGCTAAAGGAGCTTCAGAGAGAATATAGGAGGCCATTGGTGCCATACTGTGGAAGGCCTTGAATGCTTAGCTGAGGATATTAAAGATTTGGTAGGCAATGCAGAACCACTTAAGGCTTCTTAACCTGGCAGTGGCTTGTCGAGAGCTATTTTTTGCATGGCTGGCTCCATCTCATCCTTTGGGTCCCGATTTAAATGCTGCCTCCTCAAAAGTCCATCCCTGACTCTAAGTAGGTTCTCTCCTGTAACTCCAAATTGCCGCATCAAGTTGGTTTCCTAAAAAGCGCTTATCATTGGTTGGTTATCTGTCTACCAACCACACGGCGAGTTCCAAGTTCTTTAAACACCAAGCAATCCCAAATAGTCACTCTTCTGCACATAGGGCTGTCGTTCCATACAACACACAACATGGCGTCCCATTCGCTGCAGTTTTCTGGTTCTTAGCACACAGTCGGAGTTCAATTATTTGACTAAATAATACGCCATCCTTTCCTGACTCCTCTTTGTCATGTTCCCTGTGCCTAAAAGGGCCCCCCAGCACACCTCGCCATCATTATTTTTCCATCTGCCACAGTTCCTCTCCTCCTTCAATGAATGCCTGGTTCAGGTGCAGTCAGCCCAGTTACAAAGTGTCCTAGTCCTGAACCTGCTCAGGTTTGTTCCTGTTCCTCTGATGGCATTATTTGTGCCCTGCATAATATTTTAGTGATTTGTGAACTCTTCTTGTCTCTTTTCTCTCCCCAGCTAGATGGTTAGCTCCCAGTGGGCATGATCTTTGCCTTTCTCGTGTCTTCCTTACCAAACACTAGTTATAAATACTGTGGTAAAAATTAAGAATAATAGAATCAGGTGACATTTGGGCAGTGTATTAGATTTTAAGGAATTATTAAACAATAAGAAATAATACTGAGTGAAAAGACATTGCTGACAAGAATATGAAGTTGAATCACCAAAAGGATGAAACCATTCCAATATTATATGGTAAATTTGAGGCAGAATTTATTATCTCAAGATGTCGTCTACTTGGGAGTGGGCTAAGAGCATTTCTTGAAAAAGTTGTGTTTGTTTATAGTGAATCTCTTGAATAATCATAGAGAAGTTGGTAAAAATCTGCACATTTGCTTTACTTTCTCAAATTCTATACATCGTTATTCTCATTATAAGCAAAACTATTTTCTAAATTATATATCTTACTGAAACATTGTAAGTGTATTCGTTGAAACTTTGGTTGTTTGATATGTCTCCAAGAAGCAAATTCCTTGAGTTTTTTTCCTGCTTAGTTGAAACGCTAACCGTCAGAGAAGACATGTATTGTCATGTAATGTTTATCAACAGTGATAAGTAACGACAATGGCTTTCGGTTATGGAGCAATTCCAACACGCCCAGTGTGTGATAAACAGCCTAGATGTTGTACCATTTAAATCTCACTACAACCTTATTTTATAGATGAAAACACTGAAATTTGTGTAAATTGCTGATTGATTGCTGAGTGTCAGGAGCTGGGCTGCACCCCCAGGCCTGGCAAATTTCAAAGCACTGTCTGCCAGGGCTAACTGTTCAGGCCAGGACCTCCATTCCCCGACGTCACTACCTAGCGCCCCTCAGGAGTGCTTTCTTCTGTCACTTTCCAGGTGCAACTTGGCTGTGAAAAGGAGGCAACTTGCAGGCCTCAATTTTCAACTTTTTTGTTGTTGCAGGAAGAGAAGTTAAACTTCTAGAGAAACCTAATGGACAATCTCCACAACAGGTAAACTATTTTCTTTTTTATGCTTTGGGAAAAAGCTCTCTTCTTTCCACTTTCCATTAAATATTCTATTACTCAGTCTTTCACTACAGTTTTTATTACCAAAACATTAAAGCCAGTAGACAGAGCAATCCCCAAAGTCTATTTCTTTCTGGCTCGTTCAGGTTTTAGTAGAATGCTGTTATTTCCTTTTTGGTTTTGTTTGTGTAGGGGATACAGTTCTAAGACATGTGAGATGAGGCACGACCCAACAAAGTCTTCATGCTGAATAGATTTACAGTATGAGAGCCAAGATGAAGTGGGACACTGCCTCACTTGAGCTTAGCTAGAAATGAGCACATCAGATGACTCCAATTTTTCGCTACTCTGCACATGTCCACTGATGACAGCAATAGCACCCCAAGTATTAATTTTGGGGTTACAAATAAATTTTAACAAGTAGATGAGTTCACAAATATGGGCTCCACAAATTATGAGGATCCAGTACCTATAAAGCATGTAGATTAACACCTGATAGATAGGAAGCTCTATGGAAGTTTGATACTTTTATCATCATCTTCATTATTATGTGTTATTAACTATCCTGAGGGCATTGGACACCTCTGGGAAGTTTTAGTCAGGGGAGTGATGTGATTCAGATTTGTGTCCTAAAAACATCATGTGACTTCCATGTGGCCAATGTATCAGACGACACAAGTGGATGCAAGTGACAGGAGGATATTGCAGTAATTAATTCAGGTAAGAAAGAGGTGATAATGGTTTAGGACAGGGCAGTGGCAGTGCACATGGAAAGAAAAGGGTGGGTCTAAGAGAGAAGGTGTAAGAGGTAGCAATCCTGCCCTCGCATTGCGTTTCCCCTGCCGTGTGCTCTGCAGCTCCACCAGCACCATTATCTGCTCACCTTCGCTCACGAGCGTTTCCTCATCTTCCTGAGATTGCTCAGGCACTCTTCGCCTTATGTAACACATTGTATGACATAGTTCAGTGTCATACAGTCTATTAGTCATCTATTTGTATATCTATCTCCCTTGCTAGGCTGTAAAACTCTTTCCAGATCCCTGAAACAGAGTTCAGTCCTTGGCACAGAGCAGGGACTCAGGAACTGTTTGTTCCATGAATAGGTGGTGAGCCCTGTACCGGACAGCAGGGACCCTCGACCTCTTTGTGTCTTAGTAACCAGCAGAGTCTTTTGCCTCCAGTGGGTGCTCGGAGAACCTTACTCAGTCTTTTCAAGTGCAAAAACTTTTTACTATTCTTCAGAGAAACGCTGGGGGCCCAATTCCACACACATAGGGTCATCTACAAGTGTGGGACAATCTGTTTTTTCTTGTCCTCTGACTAGTTCATGCTTCCAGCCTTGAGTCCAAAAGCACATTTGTAAAATAAAGTGAGTGGGTAGGAAGTTCTCTAAGATTCTTTGTGGTTTGGGCACTCTAGGATGCTGAGGATTACCCAGAACGAGTTTATTCCAAGCTTCTAGCCATGAGCTGTGCTTTTGAAGCTGTCATTATTTGTAGCCTTACAAGACTGTATTATATAAATTTCTCTCTATATCGTCTCCTCTAAAACTTCCTCCTCATTTCCAGAACTTAACTTTTTCTAAATGCTTCAAGTTTCTTCCAGACTTCTCCCCACTCCCTGATAAGGCTACCTACCAAAATTAGAGACCTACCCTGTGTTAGAGAGACACCCTGATTCCCAAGGGGTTCCGGGGAGGATTTGGTCAGAACATGGCCCATCTCTATTCACGGTGTCTAAAAGTGACTGTCTCCCAACAGTTAAAGAATATTCCCACTGATGATGACCATGAACATGAAAGCAGTCAACATTTGTTAAAAGCCTACTACTTGCCAGACGCACTCTGCCAGGCCTATCATGTGTTTAAGACATGTGATCCTCATAGGAACCCTGCGAGATTAGGTATTACTATTTTCCCCATTGATTGGTTGGCAAAACTGAGAATTTAAGTGACTTGCTCAAGATCACCCAAATTATAACAGGGCAACCGAGATTTTGACTCCAGAGCCCCCTCCCTTAATTACAGCACTAGACTGTCTCCTCTGGACTGGATTTTAAGTTCTTGCTCCTCTTCTCCTAGCCCCCCTGTATGACTTTGACCAGTCCTTCTGGTAATGTGGCCATAGAAATGAAAGCGATTACATACTGATGCCAAGAGTATCTCTGGTGTTTATAAGTACATACCCTACTAAAGGTCGGTGATGCTGAGCTTCCTACGTAACTTGAACCAAAGTCGGGGAGATCAGCCCAACAAGCTGAGTTGAGATGAGTTTTGTCAGATGACACTGTTGCCATGATGGTCGAGAGTATGATTGAAGGGGGTCCACTGAGTCCCAAGAAGAAGATGTAGATCTGCCTATGTTAAGTGAAAACATGTCATCTTCATTTCAGATTTAAAAAATCTTCTCGATAAGTTATATTTGTATTATTGAGGATTCTCCAAAGTGCACTTGTTCATATTCTCAGGAACTAAAAGCCATCCAGAAGGTTGTGGCCTGCCCCCCGTCTTCAGCTGGCTCGGAATCTTGGGGCTGCAGCCATGATCCCTGATCACCATGCTTGGTTTGGTTTTCAACGACATGGGCTGTTGATTCATCAGCAAACAAGATTCTACCAAGTAGCAGAATTTGTGGGAAATATCTAATTCCGTATCACTGATGAAAAGCTATCATCTTAAATGAGATTATGTATGTGATTAGTTGAGCTCCATATATGGTCTCAGCCACTTTCTCTTCAGAGCTGCCTGTGATAATTCGCATGACTTCCTCAACACATACTTCAAAAGCACATTGATAAGCACATGGTACTGTCTGGATTACCAACTCTGAGAGTTTTAGATATTGTCTTAAGCTGTTGAATTGGAGCCTCACTGAAGCGTTTAGGGGCATATTAAAAATCAGCTTCCCGCACTATGTTGATAATGGAGAGTGAGTTAATGCAGCCTGGCGCCTATGCTAATAACAGGGAATACCTTCTATATTTTAGCAGGCATAAAGAACATCTAAACTTCTCTATTAGCCACCATCACTCACGCCCATTAATGATGTTGGGTGTTTTCATGAGATTACTGAAAATAGTGTGAAGGTCCTTATGTCCCCTATACTTTCTCCAGTGGCAGTTTTAGAACATCTCTATGTAGTAAGAGTTTAAGAGCTTGGAAGGGAGACTTAAGACAGGAGCCTTGTCTGAAAGATACATGCACAGCAAACAGACTGATTTGGGGCAGGAAAGGGAAGAGAACTTGATGGAGATGATAGAGGAGCTAAAGTCCCTTCCCCAACCACTGTTGACGTGCCCCCGTGACCTGCCCTATGTCAGGCATGCAGCAAGCAGCAACATGTACCTTAGATAATACCAATTTTTGCAGAGTCCAATACTGTTGTCTATTATTTAGTATCTTAGCTAGAAAGCCTTTGATCAGGATATTATCTGTGTTAGGCAAGGTTCAGTCAGAAATGGGAGCCCCTTCTTTCAAACAGAGGGAAGTCAGACTCAGTGGGTATGCAGGGTACGCAGGTATTGGAAGAGCTGGGATTCCAAATGGGATGGTGAGGCAGCACGCCGGTGGTCACACAGAGATGTTCAAGACAGGAAGACATTACCACCCTCTGGTGAGACACGGGACTAGATGCTGGGGCGGTAGCTGGAAGGAGAGGTTCCATGGTTCTCACTGGCATCCGGGGGGTCAGGCTGTTGGGCATCTAGAGCTGTGGAGGAGATACGGCCACTGCCAGGATGGACAGGATACTGTCCAAAGCAGGGAGAAACCATGGCTTCTCAACCTCTTCCCGCTCTGCTCTTCCACCAGCACCTTCCACTGGTGAGACCTACCTGGATCCAGAGGGCAAGGCTTCCTCAGCATTATGGTGCCCTGAGAAAATGAGCGAGCAGGGAGAGGTGAGGATGGATCTAAGAGCAGACAGACAGTGGACTAGCCAATGTCTTAGGTTTATTCCAACCATTCCCCAATTAGTAAACATATAGGTTGTTTAAATTGATCCCATATTACTAGACATTTGGTTATGTTAACTTTTCCCTGCCACAGCCCCCATAGAGAAGGGTAAAAAGCAACGTAAATTAGAAAGTGTTTAAAAACAAATTTTGAAAAACACAGAATTTTTAGAAACTTAAGAGGATTGGAAAACTATACTAACTGGGGCTGAGATTGGGAATAGTGACTGCAGGTATTAGTTTCTGACCAATATTATTTCTAACCAACATAAAATTATGTTCCGGCCAACTAGGTTTGGGCCATATCATTTGCCACCAAGAAGAGCCAGTGGTGATGGGGGCTGCCTCACTATTGCCAGGAACTTCCCAAGTTCTTAGGATGTTAGTCCTCCCCCTTCAAGTAAAGCTCACCTGGACCAAGCAGCAACATAGCAAAGCAAAGAGGCCTGAACTGCCCTGACTTCCTTACAGCAGTAAGGCACTGGTTCCCAAAGTGTGGCCCCCAGCCAGCAGTATCAGCACCACCTGGGAGCTTGTCAGAAGTGCAAGCTATTGGGCCCACTCAGATCCAGGAGGATTCCTTACGGACCCTGTGCCCTCTGCGTCCACCAGGATCGCCACCCCTACCATGTGTATACCCCAGTCTTTATTCGTTAATGAATTGCATCTCATCTGCTTCAGACAGGAGCCTACTCCCAGGAATTTACAGTCCAGAGAACAGGGGCACAGCTCCAAACATTTTCCCTAAAATAGTTCCCACCAAGTGTACAGGAGGATCTGAGGGGACTGGCGAGGTGTCTAGATGGCTGACCACAAGCTACTAATAGAGCTTGAAAATTTCTATATGCCTTCTGTTTAATTCCAATAATTCATGCAAATTTTGCCTTTTCAAACACAATATTCTGAATTTATTTTAAATAATGAGCTTCTTCCCCCCCAAAAGTTCAAATTTGGCTATATTTATTTTGTGGCTTTATCTTTACTTCCTAATTCATGGCCCTATACCCTTATCCAGAAGATGGAGCCCCAAGACC